GGTAAAGGGGCGGGAAAGCGAAGCGAGTTTAAGGAAGATGAAAAGGAGAACGAGAGATGGTCAAGAATAGCAAGGACATGTATGGTACCAAAACCATGTCTAGCATAGCTGTGTATGGTGTAGTATAGTAAGGGGTGTGGCAAAGGAAAGTTAGGGTGAGGAGGATACCAATGAGAATGGAATAATGTAAAACATAACAACTAAGTGGTTCTGAGAAAGAAAGGAAGAGAAAAGTGAGCCCCATAACTGTCTGCTTCAGGGAGCGACACCTCAACAGTAGCTCACAAGGGATAGGGGTGAGGAGGGATTAAAAGGATAGGAATAAAGGTGTAGAGAGAGAGAGAAACAGTATGCCAGAGAGTGAGCGTGACGACACACCGAGGAGATAGGAGAGATAGGAAACATGGAAACACGTAACATTACGTAGCCGTATGTAGTATAGTACAGCAAGTTCTCGGACAGAAAAGTAAGAGTGAGAGGAATGTTGTGAATCTTAGGTGAAGAGAAAAGATGAGCAAAGGGTGAAGCACAGCACAGCCGTGTATGATACAGCGTAAGAATTGGGTGTGAAAAGGAACTGAGGAAAAGTCTAGTGAGTAAAACGTGTGAAGGTAAGCGTAGAAAGAAGGAAGGGGAGGGTAAATGATGCATAACCATGTGTACTATAGTATAACAAGGGCTTCGAAGAGTGAGGGTCAGAATGAGAGAAGAGTGTAGCATAGTATATACATGTGTAGTACTGTGTATTAAGGGGGAAAGGAAGCGATGTTGAGGACGATGAAAAGGTAGAGGGTAATCAGGACGGCGAGTGTAGAGCATGGCATAGCTGTACATAAGGGAAAATTATAACTGCGCTGAAGACCAGACAGCAGAAACGAAGTGGGCAGGACGTTTGTACTGCCTCGCCTTTAGCAAAGTTGTATTCTTTTCAATTATGTCTTACAAAATAGTCCCCCAACATACGCTGTTCGAGCTCATAGCTGTACATTATAGCACGGCGTGGAAAATGAACGCGATGGAAAGGAGAGGATACGTGATAAGGGTAAAATGTAAAATATCCATGCACAGTGTAGCACAATATATCACTGTACACCATGGCTAAAAACTGACGGAAACAGGGGCTTTGGAATGCCAATGTGTAGGATATCAAGAGTTAACCTGGGTGAATGATTCACAAGATAAATTAAAAGTTACAAACATCATATAATTTTAGTTTATTTTGGGAAAGCGTAAAACATACTCAGCGAGTGATAGTTGTACAGATGTGTCGCTAGAGAACACGACTGGGTTTCACTTATCAGAAGCTCATGATTCAACCCACAGGGGAGACTGCACTCGTCGTTTCATGTTGTCTTGCCCGAAGTGTAGATATATGTAACAGGCAATATTGCATATCATTAGGAGGCTTCAACAAAACACATTTATGTTTTCCCTATCTTGTAGCCTTGCAGGGGACCACGAGATTGGATTACTTGCGGTCCAACCTGCATTTGTGAACAAATACTCCAACCGTACTATGGTTACTACGAAAACTCATATCGCTGGTCTCGCTGGAGTTGCGGGAACCCGCCTGCTTGGGAATCGGCTTACAGAATGTAAGCGAAACATTGGGGCCGCAAAAATCATGGCTCGTCGTAATAAAGGCGTCCTGGTAAATCACTGTGTGACCTCTCTATACGACACTAGCAAGCTTTAGCGTCTTAGTCAAAATTACCACCCACTTGAGTACCTTTTCTTTTTTGTTTGTTTACTGGTCAAAGCTATTCTTGTAAATACTGGAGAACTTTACGCACACACAAAAACGGCCGAGATACGGGACCACGATAGTTACACATCCAAACTGTGCCAAATGTGCCATTCGAAGCGAGAACTTGCCGCTACCGTTTTGCGAAACATTAGCGTTTAATAAGAAAACAGAAATGCTCTCATCGTTTCTTATTAATACGCGTCAGACCACTCGATTAAGAAAATCCTCAAGTCCGGCTGTTTTACCGTGCACTTTAAAATATGGGAACAGCAATGTTTATGTATTTGTTAGTCGTGCAAACGCCGCAAAGACGGAGTGAGGGCTCCGCCGGTAAAATTAGCGTTAAGGTGCCTGTATTCTGCTCGGGAGGAGCAAGATCGAGGAATCCTATAGGTATACCTTTTAGGGGCGAAGCTCCTTAAAACCGCACCCTTTCGTACCTCGTCGTAGTGCGTAAGCAGTCTTACATTTCGACCTGCAATGTGGTGCCGGTGGGATATTTCTCCTGTGCGTTGTTGAACAATAAAATATTGGCAGCGTGCGCGTTAACTAAAAGCCGAATTCTCCTGTCTCTCATTCTCTATTAGCAGCCATTGGCATGTACATTGAGCGCTATCTGACAGGAAAGGGTTGCTACATTATACTCGCTGGGCGTAACCTCCTTGGTTTTAGAAAGGGTTAGCGAGCGTCGGGCCGCAGTGGCATGAATAAAGTGAACTAGTATATACCACGAACTGTGTCCATCTCTTGTATTTACGTGACCACCAATAGTTCCACCTTTGCACACTGCCCACCACTTCGTCCTTGCAAACATCCCACTACGCCCCATCACCGATCCACCATTTCACCGCCCACAAAGCAAGTACTGTTGAGAAGTAGCCAATATGAAATGCAAGATGGTCGTGTACTAGTATACAGGTGCGCATTAGAGAACCATAGATTGATCTTACTGTGTCAATCCATTGTTGTAAGTGACCGCCCATAGTTCCGTCTTTGCAAACGGCCCACTACTTCGTCCTTGCAAACTTCCCATTACGCCCCATCCCAAATCCTCCACTTCACTGACCATAAAGCCGTTATACTGAAGGGGAAAAGGAAACGTCGTATAGCTACCACTTACGAAGAATAAAATTTCTTGTATAAATATATGAAGTGTTCGTCACGTCTTTGATGATGTAGTGGGCGATATTCGCGGATGGTTCACGGTTTAGCGATGAAACCTTTTTGCGCTTCGACCCACTCATCATAATTAACTCCGTGGATATGCTGTGATTCGTTTTAATCATCCTTGTTGCGAGCAAAAATACGCCATATCAATGAAGTGAATGATGATGTAGGAGCTTGCTCCGCCGGTTTATATACGTCGACACTTGTTAACATTGATGATCAAGAAGCAAATATTACTCCTATCTGAGGCGCAACACCAATACGTAAGTGCTAGGTGGTGCGTTTATTCATAGAAAATCCATAGATAAGTGATTCTGGGGGCGCTATTGTATTTTTACGCTGCGCTGACAAGGCGAAATCATGAAAAGAAAAAAAAAATGCAGGCGTTTTTAACGCTTCGCCAAGACTAGGGTGCCTTGATGCCCGCGCTCTCCGCTGAGGGTGAGGACAGCCGCGTCGTTTGCTACGACCGCCGCCATTGCGCCTCCCCACCACAACTCGACCGTATGAGAAGCCCGCTACGCAACGCTCGTGTGGTGCCCTGATACGCCCGGAAATATGTGCAAGCTAGCGAGCTTTTCTTCTTATTGAAGCTTGGACATCTTTTAGAGTTAATTTTGCCTGAATGCATGCAGGGAGCGCATATTTCATGCAAGCTGACGGCTTACGCATGATTTATGCGCTAGAGGCAGACGCTGACTCTTTCATGTTGAAAACAAATTCCTACGCCGGTTACCACAGAGGGGATTCTAAATCTATATCGGTGGTGTCGTTTATATACTTTCTTTGTTAGTGTTCATTATTATCTGAGGCTTTTACGTTCTAAAATGACGCCTGATTGCAGGACTGCAGCAATTTTGACAATCAGTTTTTTTTTGCCTGCACTGACGCGGTACATGGGTGTCCTCTGGTGTTTTACGTTATTCAAAATGAGACCGCCGTGGCCTAGATCGAAAGCGTGAGCCTCGCGTCAGCAACCGAGCACCGTGCCCACGGTACCACTGAGGCGGACGCCTTTCTTATTGCATTAACTATTTCTCCATGATCTTCTCATCGCACAACTTGACTTGTTTTTTTTTGCGACATAGCGTGTTCATTCTACACAGCGGTACCCCGTCTTGTCTTTATGCATCTTCTTTGTATGGACGCTTCGCGAGTACAGTTTGCATAAGCACTTGCGTATGGTTCCTGATGGCTCACAGTATTAATAAATAAGTTATTTACTTAAATAATAATGCGTGCTGAAAGAGTTTAAATACTGGCGTTGTGTGTGTGTGCGTGTGTACACGCCTGCAGTTTCCCCTATTATCATCCAGTGAAGAAATAATTTATTTTTGTGCATTAATGCAGCGCTGCCAGAAGCGATTCAAATTATACGCTCCATGGCAGAATTCACTGAGTACTGTCACTAGTTGCTTCGCAGTGGTCGTAAATGATTAAAAAAACATCAATTGCGTAACGATTCGAGACAGGACGAAAAGAAAACTTGAAGTACAGGAACAATGAAAAAAATTTGAACTGCACACATTCTTACAAGGGTCATCACACCAGCATAGAAGGCGTACCTAAACCGAGGAAAAGATCGTAGAAAGAAAGAACCTGTGTGGCTTTGTGATGGTTTGGGCGCTCGAACGGTCGGTAATCGAATTCCGGCTGCAGTGGCCCCACTTCGATGGAGATGAAATGCCGGAGTTCTTAAACTTAGGTGCAAGTTACATAAAAACACCTGTTCAAAATTTCCGAAGTCCTCCAATGTATACCGCGTCTCTCGTGATCATATGGTGATTCCGGAACGTACACACACTCTTTAAACTTCAGTGGGTACGACACCGCCACTGCGCAAAGCTTTATTCCCACAAATGAATATTACGAAAAAAACAAGGATATCATCTGCAAAGAAACACGTGTAATGTATATTCAATAATAAAGTTCTCATCGCACATAGTGAAACCAAGAATGAAGGGCAGATACAGTACCAACCAAGAGCAGCAAGCAATGTTTACGAAGTGAAATACGCGATTCATGCACACGAGAATCAAGCATACAGCCGTCAGCGTGTCTGTTGCTTACACGAAATTGGTGCCGGTGCAAATTATGCATGCGGAATACCGGCTGCAAACTTACGCTGTGAATGGATGATCTGTTTGTCGGGTGCCTTTTGTCATGTTTGATTTTCACTGTTGAAAAGGCCATCATTTCGGGTCTCTTAGGAAGCGATACAGCTTCCAGAGTTTCCAGAGTGCAATGATTAGTGCCCTGCGGCCCGCAATATCCGCTACGGTGACGGTAGCGAGCGCATTAAACCGGAAAAAAGCGAGCGCCAGCACAAGTATTCGGGCGCAGCGAACACGCAGAAGTGACTGAGTGGAGTCAAAATGGCGGCCATGCCGCCGCTAAGGCCGAGGAGGCGGCACCTGCCCTTACAAAGGCTGACACCACTCTAAGCGGGGGCGCGCGCATCGAGGCACTCTAGCCAAGATGATATTGTGCTGCCACCTGCCGGTGGTTCGCGTTCTCCACAAGCTTGTGCTTCCCCACGTTACATGCCCTTCATATCTCACGCAGCGCCTCCAGTTCAGGAAAAGTAATCGAGATTGATTGAGTTCCTTGAAAGAGGAGGAGGGGGTGAAAGTAACGTTTATCGTAACGAAATGGGATGGTATGTGGAGATGTGAGGTTGATGCAAGGTGGCGATTGGAGCACAGATTGTGAGGAGCTGCGACCGTTTCAGCACCTGGCGAAGCAGATTTCAACTGAGCACTTTCCTATACATGGTTACCAAGATCCACGCCGGGTCTACGACAAAACGCAAATTTAACGCAGTGAAAAAAGAGGAAATATAGGGGTTCGATTTTCTTTCTTTGACACGCTATCAGTAAGAACTAGCAAACGCTAGAGAGAGGAAGAAAATAAAATGTGAGAACGGTAGGGAGCTACACAGGAATTGGGGCACCCAATTTGCTACCCCGCACTAATAGGGAGGGGAATGGGGAAAAAAGAGAAAGAAATTGAGGAGAAAAGTAGAAAAAAGAACAGAGCGTGGATGCTAATGCGAAGGAAAGCATAGTGGATGCTATTAGAAGTAATTGTAAAGTAAATGCAAAAAAAAAGACAACCAAAAGATATCTTGGCTTGAACAGAGACCGAGCTTGCGATATTCGAATAACGCGTACTATCCTCTTCCAACTTAGCTGTAGCGGCGGTCACCTCCCCATTTACTTTATATGAAATACATGGGCATTTCGAAGGTGGGAGTGTCAGTCAGCGTGTTTAGAAGCTTTACGTCGGCATTAAGTTTGCTGCTAAAAGTTTCTTACGCTTTCCTTGGCACCATTGTCTGCTAGTTCTCAGTTAAGTTAATGCTAAAAATTACTCAAGGCGCACGATCACTAACGTGCGACAGCCACTACGACACATATAAGTAAAGATTTACGGTCACCTCATGTTATCTATTGCAGCCAGATAACAAAAAGTTAGCACTTGATTCAATGGTGCATGAACTAATTGCACCACTCATGCCGAGGTAATGGTTAAGTGCCCTGAGGTATCGGCTTATTTGAACGCAACAGCATCAAAGCGCTCTTTTGCAGAAATTGATCTTGTGCTTGACCCAAATTGAAAAAAAGATAAAAATAAAGTAATTACTAAAGAAAGTACGGATCCGAGCGAGGATTTAACCCGGGCCGTTTGCATAGCACGCCA